TCCAATTCAGAGGACAAAAGTATTCGTATTTGGGATGCAACGAAGCGGACTGGACTTCAGACTTTCCGTCGCGAGCATGACCGGTTCTGGATACTTGCTGCTCATCCTGAGATGAATCTACTCGCAGCTGGTCATGACAGTGGCATGATTGTTTTTAAGTTGGAGAGGGAAAGGCCTGCTTTTGCTATTAGTGGTGATTCTCTATTTTATATAAAGGACCGTTTTCTGCGCTTCTATGAGTTTTCAACTCAAAAAGACACCCAAGTAACCCCAATTCGAAGGCCTGGTTCCACTAGCTTGAATCAGAGCCCTAGGAGTCTCTCTTTTAGTCCCACAGAAAATGCTGTTCTTATTTGCTCGGATCTAGATGGGGGGTGCTATGAACTGTACACCATTCCTAGAGATAGCTTTGGTAGAGGTGATAACGTGCAAGATGCCAAGAGAGGAACTGGAGGCTCAGCGGTATTTGTGGCTCGGAATAGGTTTGCTGTGCTTGATAAAAGCAACAACCAAGTCTTATTAAAAAATCTTAGGAATGAAGTTGTTAAAAAGACTCCCCTACCCATAACCACAGATGCAATCTTTTATGCTGGAACTGGTAACTTATTGTGTAGGGCAGAGGACAAAGTAGTTATATACGATCTTCAGCAGAGAATTGTTCTTGGTGATCTGCAAACCCCTTTCGTGAAATATGTTATATGGTCCAATGACATGGAAAGTGTTGCCTTACTCAGTAAACACGCAATTATTATTGCTAATAAGAAGCTCGTACACCAGTGCACTCTTCATGAGACAATTCGTGTAAAGAGTGGAGGATGGGATGATAATGGCGTCTTTATTTATACAACTTTAAACCACATAAAATACTGCCTTCCCAATGGAGATAGTGGTATAATCAGAACCCTTGATGTTCCAATATATATTACAAAGGTTTCTGGCAACACACTCTTTTGCTTGGATAGGGATGGGATAAATCAGCGTTTCATTATTGATGCAACCGAATACATATTCAAACTCTCTCTGTTGAGGAAGAGATTTGACCATGTCATGAGCATGATAAGGAACTCACAGCTCTGTGGGCAAGCAATGATTGCATATTTGCAACAAAAGGGGTTTCCTGAAGTTGCACTTCACTTTGTGAAGGACGAGAGAACCAGGTTCAATTTGGCTCTTGAGAGTGGAAACATTCAGATTGCAGTTGCATCTGCTACAGCAATTGATGAGAAAGATCATTGGTATAGGCTGGGTGTGGAGGCTCTTCGCCAAGGCAATGCAGGCATTGTGGAATATGCCTACCAGAAGACAAAAAATTTTGATAGGTTATCATTCCTTTATCTCATAACTGGTAACACAGCAAAACTGTCCAAGATGTTAAAGATTGCTGAAGTTAAGAATGACGTCATGGGTCAATTTCATAATGCTCTATATCTTGGTGATGTCCGGGAGCGTATAAAGATCTTGGAGAGTGTTGGCCACTTACCTCTTGCTTATATCACCGCATCAACCCATGGTCTACATGATGTAGCTGAAAGGTTAGCTGCTGAATTGGGAGATAATGTTCCATCTTTACCTGAAGGAAAAGCAGCATCGCTGTTATTGCCCCCTACTCCTGTTATGTGTGCTGGTGACTGGCCCCTTCTGAGAGTGATGAAAGGTATATTTGAAGGTGGGTTGGATAATGTGGGTGGTGGTCCTGCAGATGATGATGAGGAGGTTGCAGATGGTGATTGGGGTGAGGAGCTGGAAGTGGTTGATGTCGATGGCTTACAGAATGGGGATGTGACAGCAATTTTGGAGGATAGGGAAGGTGCAGAAGAAGATGAGGAAGAAGGGGGATGGGACCTTGAAGATTTGGAGCTCCCACCTGAAGCTGATACTCCAAAAGTATCAGTCAGTGCTCGTAGTTCGGTTTTTGTGGCCCCAACACCTGGCTTGCCTGCCAGCCAGGCTTGGATTCAGCGGTCATCCCTCGCTGCAGAACATGTTGCTGCTGGTAATTTTGATACTGCAATGCGGCTGCTTAACAGGCAACTAGGAATTAAAAACTTTGCTCCTTTGAGAACCATGTTTCTGGATCTTCATGCTGGAAGTCAAACCTACATTCGCGCTCTTTCATCTGTTCCCATATTAACATTGGCAGTAGAACGAGGATACAATGAATCTGGTAATGCAAATGCAAAAGGATCCCCTGCACTTATTTTCAGTTTCTCTCAGTTGGAAGAGAAGCTTAAAGCTGGTTATAAAGCCACAACATCTGGGAAGTTTGCTGAGGCTCTTCGTCTCTTTCTTGGCATTCTTCATACCATTCCTCTGATTGTTGTCGAGTCTAGGAGGGAAGTCGATGAGGTGAAGGAGTTGATTATTATCGTCAAAGAGTATGTTCTGGGTTTGCAAATAGAGCTTAAGAGGAGGGAGCTTAAGGACAATCCCACCCGTCAGATGGAGCTTGCAGCCTATTTTACTCACTGCAACCTTCAAATGCCACACTTGAGACTTGCTTTATTAAATGCTATGACAGTCTGCTACAAGGCAAAGAACCTTGCCAGCGCCGCAAACTTTGCCCGGAGGCTTCTAGAAACCAATCCCCCAGTTGAGAACCAAGCAAAGACAGCCAGGCAAGTGATACAGGCTGCAGAGAGGAATATGAAAGATTCACATCAACTGAACTATGATTTTAGAAACCCTTTCGTGACCTGTGGAGCGACTTATGTGCCAATCTATCGAGGACAGAAGGACGTTTCGTGCCCATACTGTAGTTCCAGGTTTGTGCCAAGTCAGGAAGGGCAACTCTGTTCCGTGTGTGATCTTGCTGTTGTTGGGGCCGATGCATCTGGTTTACATTGTTCTCCCACCCAAGTTCGATGATGATCGGACAGTTACAATCCGGTTGGATCATTTCTCGATCTCCTCGACGCATTCTTCCAGCTAAGGAGCCAGACGATTATCTCATAGAGTCATTCAGACGTACTCGTGGAAGGTAAACATTGAAAAATACTGTGCTGTCTGCTACTTAAAATTTCTTCTACCTATTTTTGTTTCTTTAGTTGATTGTGATTCCCTGTAATAAAGTTTTCAGAATTTTGACGTAGATACATGCTAGGTGTACTGATAGGTAAGAATACTGGAGTCCCCTTTCGGATTAGATGATTGTTACAGGTCAGGGACACATTTTAAACGATAATGTATGCAAGACCCTCGGGTCTTTTTCGATATTCTATGAAAAGCTTGTGTTGTTTTACTTGGTGACTTGGTTTAAAAGATTTAGATTATGGTTGATTCTGGAAGGGAATGATTCGGTTTTAGCGACTCAGTTTCGATTTTTTACCAACATAGTAAGGCAATAGTGTCAAAGATGTGTTTGATGAGTAGCATCTATTTGGAAGGTCCATTTCCTGTTCTTTTTGCTCTTCCTTAGTTCCAGACTGGTTTCTTAATTGTGTAAGTGATGTAATTTATATTTTATATATCACTTGATTAATATACCAAATTTTAAAGTAGCCCAGTCACGCAGTTACTGTCGATTAATGGTCGAATTTGAGTACCAATGGAAGCTACATATGTGTATCAATAATATATCGATTTGTGTATCGATAATGTATTATATCAATAGTATATCAACATTTTAAGGTAAAATATATCAGTGCATCTGATATGGTATCACTCCAGAAAAAGTTAAATAAAAATTATTGTATTGAGAGATTTGAATCACTCCATAAGCAAAATTGATGATGTATTGCTAATAAACCTAAACTCTTAGCTAAAAGAAAGTACTTTTTTTTGCTGCATTTTTTCAAGTCTGCTTTACGAGTACGGTTTTATATAGTCTAAAAAATGAAAATCATTGACCTTGTATTTCAAGAGATGTAATTTTTATACTTTATGACCATAATTAGTCAACTTTTTAGTAAATAAAGTACTCGATTGGTGATTTCTCTTCGTTCGCTCTCTTTTTCCAAGTGCGGTCTCGATTACTTTAATTCATTAGATTCAGTAGTAGATTTTGAAATTATAAATAATATCTCGAATAACAAGAAGAAAAGTCTCGCACGAGAGGAATGAAATTGGGGAACCCGACTCAACATCAAAGTGGTCTCATGCGTGACCATCATCTTGTTGGGTCTGGGTTGTTTATGGTTACACTAACTAGCACCATTGTTAAGGATAGTCCAAAGCTTTTAGCACTTGATGTCAGAGTGTCAAGGAGAAGTGGTTGCTTCACTTCCTTAAGTACGATGAAGCCAAATGCTTTTAGATCCCTACTTCACATACCTCTCCACCAATCGATAGAGACAAATAGGAATAACAGAGGTGATTGTTTTTCATTGGCTTATCGAATCAACATATGACCCATTCCTCATTTGATGATTCCAGTAGTTAAAGCCTTTTGACAACTTGACTTTTTCGAAGGGTCGGTGGACATGAGAGCCTCAACTCATGCATTGATTTACCGAAAGAACCATGACCTCCAGATGAGGTTTCTTTTCACAAGAGAGGGTTCCCTTTTGTTCCTAAATGGGGAAGGTAAAATAAAGGGCTTCGACCCAATTAGGAAAAGAGGATAAGTTCAGACAACATAATTGTGAAACCGAGTTGGAGAAGTTCAAGCAATAGAATTGTGAAACCGAGTTGTAGAGGTGAATTAATGAAATATAGTAATTACAAATTATCATCCACTAAAAATTTGTAACCATCCAAGAATCTTCATTGCATTTTATGCTCCACAATTGAGATACCTTGGTTCATATCAGCATTACTAATATATCAACACTAGTTTGTGTTCGTATTAATAGTACATCAATACTATCACTTATATATAACCGCTTTTTTNTTTCTCTTTTTTTTTTTTTTTTTTTTTTTTTTTTTTTTTTTTTTTTTTTTTTTTTTTTGGGTAGTTTGGACTTTTCAACCTTAGATTATTTATTTATTTATTTTTCTTTTTAGTCATTCAACCTTTTCAAAGTTTATTGTTCTTCAATAGTTAGTTAAAAAAAAAAAGAAAAAGAAAAAAAAGAAAAAGAAAAACGAAACAAAATTATTACGAGTCAAACCTGTGACCCAATAACGCCATTGACGACGATTTCATTTCATGAGTGGCGGTTGCCGTTGCCGTTGCCGTTGCCAGAATACACCGACGGAGCTCCGGTCACTCTGTCAAATGAGATTCGGTCAACATTTATAAATAATTCAGTATTATTCGGGTCTGGTCTGGATCTGCCACCCATCAGTCGTCCGGTCATCGGGGGAATTGACGAACTAAGCTGATTGATCTTCGATGGCGGACTCGTAGAAAAGCTTCGTGACAATGGCGGAGCAAAGGACCGAGGATGATAGCTCAACGAAGGAAGGCGGAGAGGTGGAGAAGGAGAAACAGAAGAAGAATATGGATCGGGAACTTCTCAGCTGCTTGCTCCAACCTACAAGTATTGGTGTTGATCCGGACTATATTGGCATGCGTCGTCTCTTGCTCCATCGGAAGGCTGAAGCCGCGGTTCTTCGTCGGAAAGTAAGCATTCCCCTGCAGCTTTATTTTTTATTTTTGGATTTTTTTCTGCATTTTTTCCCCTATTTCATAAGGTTTTGAGTTAAATTGTGATTTTTTTTCCGTTTAATTGGGGAACTCGGATGTTACGGAGCATAATTGAAGTAGATTTGGTATGGCGGTTTTGTGATTCCTTTTTCCCCTGGTAGTCGCGCTTGGATCGAATGAGAGCAGTGCTACATCAGTTGATAATCCTGATCTTGGTTCTGAGTTTAGCTTGATGATCTGATAAATCTTCATTTCAAGTAACCTAGATCTTTTGAATGTGTTGCCTGAATCAGAAAAAACAGCACTTAGCTTAAGTTGAATTCCTCCATATTGAGGATTGGAGACCAGATGCATGTGGCAACTCTTTTTGACATGTATAATTGAGCTTCGGAAAACTCCTTTGATCTAATTCCTCCAATCATTGACGCTTCAATATGTTTGGACTGCATTTTTTTCTTCTAGTAGTTCAAGGTTCCAACGATTTTCATTATGTCCATCAAAGGGACAAATTATAAGGGTTCTATTTCATACCATTATGAATCATTTTAGGGTTTCTGTTTGGAAAGCAATTTTGTTAAATTGTTGCCTTCATTCTTGTCAGATGCACATAGTCAATTCACTTCATGAATTTCTGATGGTTCAATTTGTTTATGCATCTTTTCTTGAGAATAACGTCAGGCTTCTTCTATTGGTGTTTGCCAAAGGACTGGAAGTGCAATGGAAAAGGTTATGTGGCATTTCGCAATTACATACGCCGGCCAAGGAATTGGGAAAGCTCGCGTATACCAAGTCTTCAAAGCACCCCCGGAAACAGGTTGCTAAAATTTTACTTGATGACTTAAAGTATCCAATTCATATCCTGATACATCCTTCTCATGGCTTCCCTTTACTAATTTCAATTTGTTCTTTTATCTCAGTTGCAATAAATTATTATGAACTTCAATGATGAAACCTCCTATTTAATGAGTTACTTTTAAAGTTATATTCCACATAATTCTGACATCAGGATAATTTACTGATTCATGCATCAGTGGAAGATGGATTCTTCCTCCAAGTTCGATCTCTGCCTTGCATGAGGTGGAGAGCTGGAGTTCTATCAAGGTATATCCAATCTTGATTTCTTTTCTAGCAAATTATGCTTTCATTGGGAGAGAAAAAAAAAAAAAAAAAAAAATAGACAAAAGAAACAAATAAAGCCCCAACAAGGAGCTTAGGGTGCAAGGAATTGAAACCTTATATGAGATGAAAACTATCCAAAAGCTGAATTGTCTTGTTTATTTGAAGTTGTATGCATAACTCATAGCATGGTAGTAACTGCTTTACTGCTCTATGAGAGACGAGGCTGCCCCTCCCACAATTTCAACTTAAAGGATATCCTTCTCTGATTTGAGATCTCCTTACATGTCTTCAATGCGTGTTTTTCTACTCAGACTTTGTATACCCTAAATTTAGTTCTCTCATCTTTGAGAGTTTGATCTATCAGGTATATTATCGTGTAAGCCTTTCTTTGCCTGTTTGCTTGTTCAGCCTAATTCTTCTGTCCTCTCCGCCAATCTCTGGAAGGGTAAATGTCCTAAGAAGATTAGTTTCTTCTCATGGTCGGTTGCTTAGAAGAGAATTTCATACTTCAAATTTTATCCAGGGATCTTAATTTTTTTCTTTATGCTTTTAGTGGTGCATTTTGTGTAAGAGAACGTTAAAAGACTTTGGTTTATATTTTATGGATGTCTTTTACTGAAAAAATTTGGGGTGGTTTTTGTAAGATTTTCAATTTTTGTAAGAGAACGTCAAAAAATTTTCAATTTACTGAACCAAGGGTGAATTTCTTCTTTTATTGGTTCTGCACATTTAGTTTGGACCACTGCCCAAATTTCTGATATTTCATTCAGCTTGAAATCTTTGGCTTCCATAACAGTAAACAACAGTGGTTTTGAATCTAATGGGTTCTTCTTGTCCGAGCTTGTACTCATAGGTAGGAGGACAGTTTTTTTTGCCCATCCACAGGAAATCATAAGTGTTCCTTTAACAGTAAGCATATTTCTCAAAAATCTCTCTTTACTTCTTCCAATAATTCCTCCATGTTGAAGATTCAGCCAGACATTGTCGTGGGAGAGAGGCTTTGTGCCTCTTGGCCGGTTAAAGCAGTGCCTTCACCAGAGGTTGTGGGATTCTTTTTTTACCAGCCATCAGTTCCTTCATTGTAGGCTTTGATACCAATTAGTGTAAAACTAATTTTCTTGAGACAAATATTGGAGAGAAACTTGTTTTTTCTTTTCTAAAAAGTAATACCTCTTACAACCTAGGGACCTCTATGTAAAGGCTACAAACAGCCTTAGGTAAACTGGTAACTAAGTCTCTTACCTCAGTAAAAACATAAAAAACAGAAGTTTAAACAGAAAACAGAACAAAACAAAACAAAACAGAGATTACACCGAAGCCTACAAACTAAGGTTGTCAGAGAAGTAGTTAGAAGATTTACATCAAGACTCTCTTGAACTATCTTTTTTGCAATAAGGGAAGAGTTTTATGGCAGACTTGTCCTTTTCATTATTTTGTGGGGTATTTGGCTTAAGGTGAACAATAAGATGGGCTGAGAGATCTTTGAAGGAAATTTGAGAGTTGGTTAGGTTTAATTCTTTTTTATAGGTGCTTGTTAATCAAACTTTTTTTTAATTACCAGCTTAGTCTCATTCTTTTGATTAGAGTTCGTTCTTGTAGCTAGTGTTGGGGGCGACTTTTTGTGGGCTTGTTTTTTGTATGTCCTTGTACATTCTTTTATTTTTCTCAGTGATATTTTGATTTCTAATAAAAAAGAAGGTATCTTAAGTAGGTAGTTGTAGGGTGTTCTTTGATATTATTTGGAATCTTGTGCTTGATAGGTTTGGGAGGTTCGGAGAGTTTTCCGTTTTCTACTGAATTCTTTTTTATTTATTCATTTATTTATGATCATCAGCAACTGTAGCATTGCTAGAATCAAACCTTTCTTGAAGAAAAACTTGTATTATACCTCAGAAATTGCTGCCAAGTTTACTTCTGGTATAATTCTTCGGCTGAAGTCCATCCTTTAAAGGTCTCCTTCGCCTTGATATTTAGGACTTCAGAGCCAAAAAAATTTTAGTTATGGAGGTGTGGAACAATTGTAATTTTGCATGAGATCTTAATCTCAGGAGAAGCCACTTTGATTGGGAGATGTGAGTGGGCCACACTTACCTTCTTGATGGGGTTAGATTGAGTGAGCTAAAAGGCAGTCTGCTATGGAAACTATAGAGTTCTGTCATATTTTCTGTTGATTCTGCTGCGTAAGCCCTTTATGGGGATAATAGACGCCTTGATGAATCCTTTGGCAGTCTGATTTGGGACGGATTTGTGCCCCAATAAAATAACATTTTTCCTCTGGTCGTTGATCCTATAAAGTATAAACACACTGGATAAAGTGTAAACACCTGTTTATTGGATGCAATTAGCTGTCGAAGCTTAGAATTTCATTTGCAATCAGTTTTGTTTGTTCTAGTGTGGTACAAATCAGTTGGAAGGTTGTACTTTCGAGCCTCTCTCAAGCTGTTGGTTTAAGGACACAGCCAAATCCAATTCTCTCGATCTTTTTGTGACCTTGTACTGTACACGGCCTGGAGTGTCCGTCATAAGTCTGTCTTTTTCTTTTGTAACAACTCTTCCTTCTCCATTAACCCCCCC